TTAATCTATTTGCATCACTTATATTTTTACCCTTAACAAATCCTTTTTGATCTGGGTGAATTAATTTTGGCAATACAACCTTTAACCTCTCAGAGAGTATCTTAGCAATAATTTTATAATCGTTGTTAAGCATAGTTAAAGGTCTCCAACTTTTTACATCTTCTCTTTCATTCCCTTTATGTATTAATGAAATTACTCCTTTAGTTTGCGAGTCACAGAGTATAGCCTTTTGAAAAATATATTTTATTACTTTTGAAAACTCAATTCTAATTGTATCCCAATATAATTGATAAAAAGTTGACAGTATTCCATCTTCCCCAGGTGATTTATATGGTTTTAATGACATAACTGCTTTGTAGATCTCGTGATCAGTTATATCGCTGTCAAGCATGTTTACGTCACCCTCATTTAATTTACATTGTACTGTCTCTAATAATAAATTTCCGCTTTCTCTATCCCAATCCTCAGTATTTAGTAATTTGTAATAAAATTTATTTGCTCTTCAATTATTGAGTCAATGTCAGTTTTATAAGTGCCATTTTTTGCTTTAATTCTAGTCCACATTTTTTTTCCGTTATTTTTTTTCTAATTGAAAGAAATATTTAGAAGGTGCTTCTCCTTCTCTAAACCACCTACATTTAGATCTTATAATTGCAGCTTCTGTCTTATCCGTATAAATGTCTTTGATTTTTTGTTCAAGATCGTTTTGATACTTTTTATCATTTGAAGGACTGTTTTTAATCTTTTCTAATTCTTTTTCTAATTTTGCAAGTTTCTGTTTATTAACATTTAATTTTTTTGACATCTCAATACATAATATTTTTATTTTATATTTTGTTAAGTCCCACCAATGTAAAATATCCTGACAATTGTCTAAACTTTTCTTGTATTTTTCCCCAAAATCAACAAAAGTTTTTCGGAAATCTTCATTTTTATAGTTTTTTCATTCATTGCCCATAGTCCTGGGCCTCTTTGGATATTATCCATTTGCAATTTTAATGTTTTCAAGCCGTGGTCACTAAATCCAAAGTGTATAATTGCACAGTGTTTACCTTATGTAATATATTTTCACTTGAAAGGAAAAAGTCTATTCTTGATTTTGAATTGCCCCTGTGAAATGTATAGCATTTTTTTTACGATTTCTTTCACGCTAAATATCTCGTAATTCATATTTTCTTATTAATTCATTTAGTTCACAGACTGCAACATCTTTACGTTAGGGCACCGGTTGCCTATCAATCTGATTATTTTTCGCGCAGTTGAAATCACCACATATGATTTTATGATTTGCTGTTTCATCAAATTTCACAGAGTTAAAAAATAGTTTTCTATCCACCCCATTATTCGGTGTGTAAATACACTTAATTTCCATTGTGAAATCATTTAATTTTATGCTTACGTTTATTTCCCTTCCTTCGTTATCAAATGTTATTTTATCTATTATTAATTCCGGTTTTTTTGTAAAGAATAATATTCCAACACCACGTGATTCGCTGGACCAATTATTCCAAATAGAGTTATACCCTTTAAACGTTTTCCATTCATTTTCCCACTTTTGCGTTTCTTTATCTGTTCCGTGTGTTTCTTGTAAACAAATGATATCGTATTTGCGTTTACTCAACCATGAAAAAGTACACATTCTTTGTTTTCTTATCTCTTAACCCGTTAATATTTATCGAGGCAATGTGTAAAGACATCGTAATGACAATAATGAAAAAAATCTAAAAAGACAAAAGGAGAAAAGAAAGAAAGAATAAATGACCTATATATACAAGTAATATGCACAAGTATGCTTATTGTTGCCCTGTGATTTTAACAGTATGAATCAAGGTCAGCGCAGGGTGCTACATGTATTTACATTTTTTGGATTTTACCCTGCTTTTCGGTCGAAGCTGGAGTGTTTGAACTTAACTTCCTTTTGGAGATACTTGGTGTTCGAAGAGGATCATCTACAGAGTTGTATTTACAGAAAATGTCGGCTATTTTCTCGGCTCCTTCGCTGCTAATATGTACACCGCAGGGGGTCGTTGCTGTCGTAAAATACTTTAGTAACAAGCCCTTGTTCGTTAATGAAGGAACTGCATATATCAATAACCGATAAACGTTCGTTTTTTTCACAAAGTTTTTCTATGAATTTATTGACATGCCAAGTATTGTCATTCATTTTTTAATTGCGGCGCTTTTTCCTTTCCTTGGGATGACAGTGCATACGGCGATTTGCGCTTCGGGGAAGGTTTCTTGAATTTTGTTGAGTCCCGTCATTACATTGGCTGTTAGATCTCCAATTTCATCCCGGCATCTTGTTACGTCATTTGTTCCCAAGTGAACAATAATGTTTTCAGGTGAAGATTCTCCTAATTTTTTTCTTGCGAATTCAAATAATTCTGGAACGTAGGACGATCCGGAGACCGAAGTATTTAAAATACTTGAATTCGTTTGCAGTTTGACGCCCCTAATATTACAGTATCAATCTGTTCGTCATGCTTTTCGTCCTGTTTTTCAGCTTCCGCATTGTTGTCAGGTCCGGATTGGTGGAAATCGTAGTGTAAGGCCTCTCTGCCTTCGCTAATTTCTGCGGCATATTTACCATATTTTGTTAGCATTTTTTCTGAAAGTACCCCACAGTTCTCTTTACTATGGCCCTGTTCCTTACAAAATCTACACACAGGATCGTTTTCACAGTCTTTTGCTATATGACCCTGTTTACTGCAGTTGTAACAGATTGGTTTGTTTACAGGTTTGTTAATACATTTGTACGAAGGGTGATCAGAATTTCCACAATATGGACATTGAGTGCGATTGTTGTCTGCAAAAATTCTGACTTCATGATCTCCAAATTTTGTTCTGTTAGGTAGAGTTGGAATACAATTTAATATTTGCAGGTATCGCGTGCCGTTTTCAATAGCTGTGTTTTTAATTGTGCCATGTTTGATGCTGCCCGCAACTACCTGCCCATACTGCATCATGTTTGTAGCTGTGAAGGAGTCTGGAAGTTCAACGGGAGCATCTTTCATTGTTACATTTGTTATTTGTTTGTCAATCTCATACAATGATACTGTTCGATTTTTTACCGTTACACCGGACATTAAAAGTTTTTCTTTTGTTTGCTCTTTTTTTAGTGTAATAACACAGTCTTTTTCAGTAATCTGAATTGCTTTTATGTCTTCAATATCAATATCACTGTTTTCTTTTAATCCTTCTAATACTTCTTCGTGAGTTACACCCTTGTATAACCGTGTAGAAAAGTGTATTGACAGATTTTTCTGTACTTACTGCATGCTGAATAGTCTTTCGCTAAAGTCTTTTGTTTTCAACGATCAAAATCGATTACAGTGATACTCACAGTTTGTTGTTGCATTTGTTGCAGCATATAAACCACATTAATGACTCACATAAATTCAGCAGCATACAGCACTCTCGAATAGGAAATATAAGCAAAGAAGATCAAAATACTCGGAGTGACCAGAAATGACTGCCGACCATACCAAGGGCCATAACTCTTCCAATTGAACGTTGAACACACGGTGAACGAACGGTGCACGCACGCTGAACAAACGTTGAACGAACGGTGATCGAACGGAAAACTAGGAAAGTAGAACGTTTCAGGAACTGTACGTAGTGCATGCTTTTGCGTATCGAATCAACTGAGAGAGATATATCCCGAATGCAGGTGATGAAGGTATAGTGCTGCATAAGTAAGGGAAGTTGACGATTGAAAAGTCATCATGTTTATCACAAAGCTTGGTTGTTGAATTACCATTAAGGTTTTTTTCTAGTAAGATATCCAAATATGAAAGAGATGTGTTGGACACTGTGGTGTCTTTTATTTCAAGCTCACTCGGAAATATCGCATCGACATCAGAATGGAAATAAAAATTGTTAATTGACAATACGTCGTCGATATATCTAAATGTCGAGTTGAAGGCCACAGCAAGCGTTTTCTTCTTTTCATGTGAAAGATTTTGAACAAATTCTGCTTCACATGAATACAAAAATAGGTCTGCTAATAACGGAGCGCAATAGGTACCAATGGGAATTCCAATAGATTGTTGGAAGACCTGGTCTCCAAAAACCACATAGATATTATCAGTCAGAAGCTCAATCATCTTTTTAAAATCGATTTCAGAGTACTTGTGTGTACAATCAGAATGTTTTTTAACAAAATAATTTTGCAAATGACCAATGACAAAGTAAGTAAATTTACGAGTTCCACTTTTATTGAAAAAGCAGCTGTCAATGATATCAGAAAGCCTGGACTTTGAGGAAAACATTTACTCTGGCCTTCAACTCGACATTAAGATAAATCGACAATGTTTTGTCGATTCACAACAGTTATCTCAATTAATACGTTGACTCCATATATCCCAGTGAACTTGAAATAAAAGACCCCGTGGAGTCTTCCAGATCTTTTTCATATTTTGATGTTTTGCTGACTATAGAAGATAAAAGCCAACTTATAACTAAACTGCATGACGAAAAACATGACTTGAGCTTTCCCATAATCACCTTCCTTTATTTATATAGTTACATGTACGAGTATATTCCGCTATCACCAGCGCATTGTATTTTTGTCTCCCAACTTATTTCATACTCAGGTGAATTCTCTGAGTATGACAAATTTTCAAACCGAGGCAGGCTAATCATGAATTAGTTGATGTTTCAGAGATTTCAACAACCTCGTTAAGAGTCATCAGTTTCAAATTCTTTTGTCGTTATAATCACCTTGTTATCAAATATAAGCTAGCATTAGATCGTATTCTGGCTGACCTGTTTCATACCAATTGACAGCCCTTTATTTGCACTAAATTTGACAACGGAAGTTTTCGTTTTCTTGATTAAACTATAGGGCTCACGACGTATGTGACCGGTCCACAGGGGATGCTTGCTTCTCCTAGGCACCTGATTTCATCTCTGGTATTTCTGGCGGTCCATGTTCATGCCTTACTCACAGATTTGTATTGTTTGTAGACTTTTTCCAGATCGATAGCTATTCGTTATCGTTACCTTTTTTCATTGTCATTGTTGTCTTTGTTATCATCTTCATCACCTTTATCAACTTGTGTCACGACAGGGGGCATATCTTTAAAAAAGTAATTAAAGAAAAAATATACCTAAATTATATATATATTAAATTAAATTAACTTATCAATGTAATTTTTCCCATTTATTAATAATTACAGCTGTCATCATATATGTATATACGAACAAGAAATTTGTATCCAAAACTGATTCCGGAAAGATATTTTTTTTTTTTGTTTTACATGTATATATCATACAACTTAATTAAAATACCTGTTCAATGTATGTTATGAATAAAAAATTGTAACATTGTATTTAGTTGCATGTATCAAGCACCCTGCGAGGATTAACTATTATATATATTGTTATAGAGGGCGCTAAGTCTTTGCTTCATCCCAAGTAGTTGCCCAATATCACCAGTAATTTTATAGGTTTGCAAAATGAATGTTATTTTAAAAAAAAGTATAGACATCTTTAGCACACAAACAGAACTACTTTGCAATGAACAGTAAAAATCATATCATATGCATCAGAATCAGAAACTTAAAGTTGACGACGCAGGCGTGTAATGAAGAAAAGAGCACCCTCAGCAGCTGAAACCTTTTTTTTTTCCAAAAGCCTAAGATTTAAAGAAAAACGCAATTCGCGGACTCCGTAGAGCATCATGTGTCAGGACTAAATTTAGCTGTGTGTATCATTTGGTTTCGAACGTTGCAACATATATTAAATAAAAGTAATGAGACTCTTGCATGATAAAGATGTATGTATCATAAAATAAATCTGGTTCTATCTAACATGAATATGTTTGAGTTAAGAAGCTTTACATTTGAGACTAGGTGTTTGAACCAGACAAGGATTCGAGCACATATTAGCATACTTAACGCATTAATTTTCTCCGTCTTTTTGTATTGGTTTTACAGTGTATCATGTATTCTTTTATTTACCTATATTTACAAAGAAAGTTTCATTAAAAACACATATAGAACAAGAACACATGCTGAAATAGATGTATTAAATGTGTCCTCCATGTAAAACTGCTCCTTTGGCAATAAACATTTCTGGGTCTTTTATCGTATGTATTCTAAAAATTGAATTACTCTGGAACTCTTCCTTGACGCATTGAAAAATTATATCAGAAGTTAAAAGCCACCCAAATAGGTATACTTCTGCATCAGATCTGATTTTCGGAAGGTTGTTTAGAGTTGCTCTAATGCACAATTTAATCTGTAATATGCATTGGTCAAAGAAAGTTTTGAATTTCTCATGTGATATTTCAAGTGTTCCTGCCTTGAGATATAATCCACGTTTGTCAACGATAATGGGAAACTCTTCATTTTTTGTAACTTTGTAAACATTTAAAGTTTTTGAAACGTCAAAATGTATACTTGAGGGGGGAACTAGTTTCAGGTCATGACTTTTCCTCATAAAACTGCCAAACAGTTTGAAGTAGTCTGCTCTTTCTTTAAGCTTATAGGACTCAAGAACTTGTCTACTGAACACCTCATCCAAACAATTTTCAAAAGCTTTCAGAATAGTTATTCCTCCAGAATCTGCTATAGTCTCCACAAATGTTTCCTTCTCCGTACATGCATATATTTTCGTTGATCCACCTAGAAAATTTTCAAAATTGAACCATTACATAATAATTCCAGTTATGTATTTAATTTCTAATTTTCCATAACTATATATTTATTTCATAACAATTGGTTTAAATGATTAAGCTCACGATATATTAGAAATTGGAGATGTCTGAAATATTAACAAATATATATATTTTTATACTTAATTTATTCTTTTTCATGTAAAGTTCAAATCTATGCCTATTTTCAAACAACTAAATTTGTGGATTCTTTAAAACTCTATTTTTATTTAATAATTTTTAATTTAATTTTTTGGGGGGATTTTCACCGTTTCGGCCTGAGCATCACTGAAAGGACATAATTTGTCGAAACGCGCATCTGATGCATCAAAATTGATACAGTATATGATTTACATTATGACCCATGGGTCGAGGTCTCTGCAGGTGGACTATTAGTCCCCGAGGATCTCTACAGTCCAGTTACCTACTACTTCGGTACTAGCTTGAAAATACAGAATATATATTTCATTGCTTTGGTAAAATTTAGAAATTTATTTCAAAATTAAAGGATTATCTCCCTCACGCATAGCTGTGATCCTTCGACGTATTTGGCTCCAGTCTTTTGCACCTTTTTTCAGCTCTTCCAAGTCTTTTTTATTTAATTTTTTTTGGATTTTCAACGTTTCGGCTTGAGCATCACTGAGGAGACGTAATTTGTCGAAATGCGCATCTAGTGCATCAAAATTGGTACCGTATATGATTTACATGCAATAAACGTATGTCCTTCCATTTACTTGCCGACGAATTCAGTAAAATTCAGTTAAAACATTTTTGCTTTACATGTAGTGACTTGATGCCAAATAGTAATAAAACTGTAAATTGCTACAACATTTACTTACCTCCCAAATCGACTAATAGGCACTTTGATTTTTCAATTTGATCACTATACTGGCACATTTGTTGCCATTTGACTGCTGAAACGTGTTCCTTTTCTAAATATAGTCTACTCTGTGGTATTCCAGCCTTTCAAAATAAATTCAATTGAATCTTTATAAGATGGGAATTTATAACATGAGGCCTTGGACAACAGTACTCATCGGAGTCAAAATGGCCCTTCCGTTCTTTATTAGCAGATTTTTATCTCCTATACATTCACATGTAAAACTTTGATCGAATGTTCTATCCAATCCTACCCCCCCCCCCCCTCTCCCCCAAGGTGTCTTGCTTTGAGCAAATTTGAATCTAAACCATCTGATGATGCTTCCATATTTATCTGACTTTCCATGACTTTGCTATTCTTGAGAAGATTCTTTTTTTTAAATATGTAGGTATCCCTCCCTTGGGGTCGGGACTTGAAAAAAAACTTGAAATTTACACTAACCTGAGGATGCGTCCATATCAATAAGTCTAGTGATGGATTTGTAATTGTTGAGAAATATTTTTTAAGAATTTTTTTATATATATTTCTTCATAAATGTTAAACTCAAATCTCCATATTCAAATCAACATAGCCTTGTGGTCATGTTTTGAACAAACTCGAATCCTACCCTTTTTTTGAGAATGTTTCTATATAATATAACTAAACACGGTTTTTATTTTCTTGAGAGGAAGATTTTTAAAAAGCTTTCTATATATTCCAATGTAATACATTGATGTCCTGTTGTGGTTCAACCCTTCTACTGGATAAATTGAGTTGAACAACTTTGAATCTACAATGCTTTGGTACATGTATGCTTCCATATTAATATGACTAATCATTACTTTCTTGTTCTTGAGACGCAGCAATGTTAAGGCGTACTGTGAAGAAATCAAAGGAATATGAATTTGCATAAATACATACCTTTTTAAACTGAATTTATTTTTGTGTAGCTTCTATATTATCACATGACCTTAATATTAATTAAAATAACATTGTATACCCCGCACTGTATTGAATATGGTTTGGTCACGTTATTTGACAGTCACGTGATAAATGTATGTAATGTGTACTGCATGTAGGTCATAAACAAATTTCAGTATCAAAAGGGAATACCCTAGTTCGAATTAAAGACTTAAGCAATAAATTGTTTCTACATATCTTGTAGTTTATGGAAAGTGCATCTGCTTTAAATAGAATTCGCATTTTATTAGTTTAACATTCAAGTTATTTAGCTCTAGTCGAAATATGTGTGACCTTTTCCAAGTATTTAAGGTATTTATTAAGTTATGCTCTCTTTTTTTAGGAAAGTACTTTCCAAGCTAAGGAATGTTCCCGTTATGTATATTTAAAAAATACTCAAGATCTATAAAGTGTACGCCTTTCAAAAACGCGATTTAACGAGGTACCTCGGCGTGAAACATGCAAATCCTGTACAAAAACACGGTAGAATTGATTCAATATATTCTCTCGATAATTTTTATATGATGGCACTAAACAAAGGTTTCAGATTTGTATTAATGGTCTACCTAATATTTGCAAATAATATTCTCTTTAATAATAATACGTCATAGTCGACAAGTGCAATGCGATCATTGACTTGTTTATATCTTACTGTTAGGATTTAACTTGAGATAAGAATGAATGAAGTGGTAAGTTTGATGTATTTCATTACTCATATGCAGTTAAAATCGCAAATTATTTCGTTTTCTAGATCTGTTATTGTGAGGAATTGCTATTTTTGTGTGATGTCACAATAAGCATTTTCCGTATAATTTAGACCCAGCCACTTTCATGCAGCCTTAACAGAGCTGTGGATAAAGATTTTAAAAGACTCTTAACATATTCCTATGTAAAAAAAGAAATCCTACCCCCGTGGATTATGATTTGAACGCATATACCTGAGGATGCTTTCATAGCAATATGACTAGTTATGACTGTTGCTCTTGAGAAGATGCCTCCCATGAGAATACATCACTCAGTCGACTGAATGGAAACTGAATGTCCACTGATGGTCATTGAAAGGTCACTGAAAAGATCCTTACCCATGGCTTTTCCATGATCTTTCAGGTACCACTTAGACGACTGAACGGCAGATACATTTCAGTGGCCTTTTTGTTATCGTTCGGTTGTTTATTTTTATTGAATAATCGGCTTATTTTTTAACGAAGAGATTTATTTCAGTATTTTCTATTATATTTGTATTAAATTGTTCTGATAAAAAGTGAACCTAAGGGGAAAATTGCATGCGGAAACCGGGTTCGAACTATGTTCCTCTTACTTGATAGTCTGTAGGCTTTTTTTCTCTTTTATCAAATCTGTAGGCTTATCCATGAAGCCAAGGCGTCGTGTTGAATATTAACCAGATTAAAACCAATAAATTTGTAGAAATCGAATCGGAACACCTTGTTCACCTGTTGTATCGATGAGCTTGGCGATGTATTTATATCTTGTATACATTTTGTATACTATATGTTAATTGCGCGAATTTTGGGGGCAGTCAAATAAGTTACACATCTCCTATCAGGATAATGTCATTTATCGGCGATGGTCTCCTGTTCTTTTTTTAAAGAAATGAAAAATGTTCACCTCGGAGAACGGTGTGATTTTTCAACGGAATTCTTCATCGGAAAAAAATATGTAAAATAATTTCAAAACGATATCTTATAAAAGCTAAAATATCATTTGATTTTAACAATTAAGAAGCAAAATGTACAATTTTGAGTTTCTTCCACAAGAGGCATAAATAATCATTCACTGGAGGATATTTCCACGAAAACTAACCGCATTAGACATAAAAGATTTATATGTCTTTTTTGACCTATTTTGGTTGTAAATGATGGGACTAATCAATTTCTAAAATATTAAGATTTTGTAAACTTTCTATGATGTTCAAAATTCAACCTTTCTGCAACCATCCTTATTAATGTATACATTTCTTTTTCACTTAAAATCCCATTATTGTGAAAGTTTGAATGAAAAATTAAAATCTGAGCGGTTAAACTTATTCATTTTACTCATATAAACATAACTTAGGTTGTTATTGTCAGGATTTTTGATAAAGGTTTGTTTGTATCATCTGTCCTTAAGATGTGAAAAAAATATTAAATTGTTAAAGAATTATTTCTATTAAAGTAATGAAAAGCTCATGAAAAAATTGTTAATTACAACTGAAAGGTTCCTAAAAGGCGACTGAAAGATGACAGAAGGGGAGCGGAAAGGTCTCCGAAAGATAACTGAAATATGCCCGCTGAATGGTGCCTGAAAGGTACCTGAATTGCAGCTGAAAGGTCACTGAACTGTATCTTCCATTTAGTGACTGAATGGCGACTGAAAAGTCACTAAAAGCAACTTTTAATTTTTAACTTAAAGGTTTTGTTTCTTCCTGTGTTTTTCAATATTTTTTTTTCTTTATATTCTTATGTAAAACTTTGATCCCCCATTTTGGTCCTACCCTACCCCGGCGGTAATGATTTTAACATATATGTATCTGAACTACCTGGGAATGCTTCAATTTCCAATTCCAATGCTTATTTTGGCTAGTTGTTGCTTTCCTATTCTTCAGAAGATTTTTCAAGATTTTTTTTCCTTTACATTCCTATGTACAACTTTACTCTCTTTTCTTGCTTCAGCCTAGCCCTGCGGGTTATGTTTAAATCAAATTTCAACTATACACTATTGTAGGATGCTTTCATTTCATATGACAAAACTTTTTTTTAAAATTCTTTTTTCTTTTTACAAAATGAAAAACAATTCAATAATGCTTACACGGAGAGCTGCTTCTTTTAAAAATTCCTTGGCGACCGGTTCCCATGTTTCTGGAAAAGTCAAAACCCAACGAAAACTTGTCACTCCAGGAAAAGATTCTTTAGCCATTTCTTCTACCCTACTCTTTATAAATCCGATGGTTTCAGCATACACATCCATCAAAAATACATAACCACGACCCCTTTGATCTGCTGCGCGCCACAAGCGTATATCCTAGAAATAAACTTTAGATAAGTCTTGATTTATGCAATGAAAATAATATTAAGTATCTATCTATGGGCCATTGCACATTGATTGAATGTTATTATACTTTAATTATGTATTCAACATCATCAAATGGTCCCACCTCGTCACAATGGTACCAGGATATGCACAAATTTACACAAACAGGATGTTACTTGACATGGGGATACTTTCAAGTAATATGACTTAGCATACTGGAATCATTTTGATTCGTGGGATTCAATGTTCATGAGGAAGCAAAATTTTACTTGTTCGTAGAGACAATATCTCCTGGATTACTCGTTTTTTGTGGTAGATTCAATTATATAATATATTTATAAAATAAAGTTCGAGGGGATGTAAATTCGTGGGTAAGGGTATCCCACAAAATCCACTAACATTGATGGTGGTAGATTCAATTATATAATATATTTATAAAATAAAGTTCGAGGGGATGTAAATTCGTGGGTAAGGGTGCCCCACAAAATCCACGAACATTGATGGTTCCACAGAGGTTCAGTTGTTCGTTTCTTTAAAAAGGAATACTTGTTTGCACACTACGCAGGGCTTAATTTACCAGATCATTAGAGAGAGAGGCCATTTATGGGTCTGACCGGTCGATAGGTTTTCTTAGTCTCCTAGGCATTTGGTTGCACCCTGTGAAAGCCCATGTTTAACCGTGTTCTACAAAAGTATTTTCTCTGCATTTATGAGACTGATCCTTGTTCATTTATCTTCATCTTTTCATGCGACGAGTGTGTTGAAATGAGCCCATTAAGGATTTTTTGAAAATCAAAGAACTTTGCAAATCGGCAGACAAAAGACACAATATAAAAATTGCGTTTTTATATAAAATAAAAAAAATAATAAAAATATATTTTTATCTAGATATGATCATAAAAACGGAACTTGAATAAAAATCACCTGATGTGTTGGAAGATTCATTTTCATGTTGAAATTTCTGATGAAACACAATGTTTCTGGTTTATTCGATTTTATATATAATTCAACTGCTTTTTTTCCAAATGCCATGAATTTCCGCTCCTCACTAAATAGTATAACAGATTCTTCGATATTTGTTATTACTTCTGAATGATATATTTGATTCGATTTCCTTTTAAAGCAGGCAAATCCTGATTTAGTGTGCGTTGTTCCAATATCAATTGAAGCTGCAATATACTCTTTATCGACATTCTTAAAACAATAAGAAACGAAAAAATTAACTCATAAATGTTCATGTTTATACTTTTTGTAAAAAATAAATGTTAATCTTATTCTTGAAAGAATTAATATGAGATGTAGCTAAACTTAATAAACATAATATACACAATACTCACAGGAAATCCTTCAGTAATTAAATCTTGAGAAAAAAAATTAAATATAAGAAACAAGATGTACGATATATATATATATATATATATATATATATATATATATATATATATATATATATATATATATATATATATATATATATATATATATATATATATATATATATATATATATCCTATGAATATTGCTAGCTTAGGAATTTATATAATACCAATATAGACTGGAATGCCCATGCGCAATTATATTCCCTGTTTGTAGAAAGCAGGATTCACTAAGCCAACACCCTCCCCTCCTCCTCAAACTCAGTCAGATTTTCTTTTGAATGTTATGTTCTATGCGAATTAACGCCCATAGCATATTTTGTCATATGTAATGCTTTGTTTGTTTTTTTTCTAATCCCTTCAATGTACTAGTCCAAATATTTTTCAGTTAAGTACAGATGATACAAACTTTTATAAAAAATCCTGAAAATAATAACCTAAGTTATATTTATATGAGTAAAATGAATAAGTTTAACCGCACAAATTTTACTTTTTCATTCAAACTTTCACAAATATGGGATTTTAAGTGACAAATAAAAATGTATACATTAATAAGGATGGTTGCAGAAAGGTTGCATTTTGAACATCATAGAAAGTTTACAAAATCTTAATATTTGAAAAATTTATTAGTCACGTCATTTACAACCAAATTAGGTCAAAAATATATACCAATCCAGGCATCCATATTTCTGTTTGTATCATCTGTCCTTAAACCCAAATATTCCCATGTTGTACATAATTTATTCAGCAAATGCATAATATGTTCTATGCAACCTTTTTTATTAGTAGGACTGTTAGCCTAGTTGCATGCTTTTTGATTTGGGCATATTATGTACTTTTACGCAACATTATTTCTATTTGTTATGTATATTTCTATTTGTTTTTCTCATTTATGTTCAATAAATGACCTATTTTATCTTTCTTGAGGAGTTGTTCTCTTTCTAACTATGGCTGGTAGGCAGACAAACACACACACACAACACACCCACACACACACCCACCCACCCACCCACCCACCCACACACACACACACACACACACACACACACACACACATATATATATATATATATATATATATATATATATATATATATATATATATATATATATATATATATATATATATATATATATATATATATATATATATATATATATATATATATGTGGTGAGGGTGTGAGGGTATGTGTGTGTGTTCCCTTTTGTGGATGCCATTGATGCCAAATTGTACATAATTATCTAATTTTGTCTTCTAAAGATTTTCTCTATAAGTTAAATTCTTATTTACCATTTTTATCAACAAAAGAAAACACTATTTATCCTTTTATTGTGCATTTGTATGTTAGTTTGTATAGGTTAAAACACACTGTAGAATATAGCTAAAAAATACATTATCGATTTTTAAAGTTTTGTTGTGTTACTCATTTCGAATATTATCATGTTTTTAACCACAGAGCGCATCCACTAGCATTGGTAATCAAAAGTGACCGAGTTTTCAAAAAACAAATTCCCTATCATTTGACACACTTTTACGCCAAAGCAAATCATAAAATAATTACCATACCACTAGACATTTAGTTTCCTTACAATTGTTGACTCGACAACAAAAAAAATAAAACCCTTTCTTTTGTTATAAATTTTATAACTTATGTTAACCTGAGGCTTGAACGTAAATGTTTGTCTATTTTCTCATGACAGGAAAGTGTTTAGCGACATACAAAGAATTACCTTTATTAGTTCTTCTTATTTCTGCCAATTGCAAGACGCCTCCATTTGAGTACAAGGGATCTTGGTTTTCTGGATTTCGAAAAAAAAATGCTTTATTGACTTTCAAAAGTTTTATGAGTATAGAAAAAAAAATATTTGCAACAAACTTTGATTCGGTAGACTTATATTCTGAGGTCTACACTAACTTTTGTCTGATTGTCTGTGTGAAATATGGAAAAAACGAACAGTATTCAAGCTCATACGTCCATTTAAAAAAAATACAAATCGAACATTGTAAACACGGACCTATAAAACATAAGAGATGTGACGAGTTGCCTTGGAAAATGAGGATCCCCGTTTACCAGTCACATCCGTCATGTGCTTCTTGTCATGATTTAAAAAAAACGAAAAAAAAAAAATCCGTAGATAAGTCATTGCTAAAAAAATAGCCTAACAATTAATATAACAAGGTCAGTAAGCATTTGACATTAAGATAAATTGCATTTGTTGACAAGGTCTTTTTACCGATTATTGAACTTGCGAAACTCGATTACTGATACTCTATTTCATCAACTTATCTGCCAATAGCTTGACTCGTTTTAGAAATCGTTTGTAAGTAGGACATGCTTTGTAATAACATTACTTTAAAAATTACGCACTTCCAAAAAAATCAAACTGCGTTAAATTTGGGACAAAGTTAACGCACTTTGAAAAAAAATATTTCTTTTCAAAGTGCGACCATATTAACGTACTTTGAAAAAAATGTGCACGGATTGGTCAATATTCTAGCTAATGCCAATAGCATGTCTATCTTTGCATAAAAAGGTTCCGACGCATAATGTAGGTATGATGGCAATGATATTAATGGACTTTCAATTTTAAAAGAATTACAATTCAATGCACTAACGACTTCATTATACTTTTTATTGTATTTAGAATATTCCAGTTTTTTTTTTTTTTTTCAAATATGACCTTTAGGGTTACATGTATGAGAAATGCAACAAATGGGGTCCAAGTTTTTAAACTTATTAAAAATAATTTCCCCGTATAATATGATGATCATTTTATAGCTATTTGATAATCATGAAAAAAATGTTTATTTCCTCACAATATGATGGCTCTGTTTTAATTGTTATTTGATTAGTATTAAGAGGTATGAAAAATCAATTATTTATGCATTTCAAACAATTTTGTTTTGTTTTTGATTTGGCCAAAATATAGTTAGTTGACTATTGTTGATTAGATCAGCGATATGGTCCCCGAGCCTCTCTTCTTCAATATAACAGGACGATTTTTTTTTTTCAGGAAAGATTATCGCAATTTTTTCATCTATTTTATATATATTCTAAAATTTCTTGAGAGAAAGTATTTTTAGCGGGGATGTTAACTTTGCCTTATTTGGTGGTTTTGTAGTAAGCCGCTAAAATTTTCATCGTCAAATTTGCACGTTTTATTATCACTAAGGTATACAAGAAAAAATCGCTTAATTAAATAAATAAGTCTGTTGTATAAGCAATTTAACTTTCATCTGGTATTGTATTTACTAAAATTTTTGTTTTTATCGGTATTCAAACGTATATTAAACTTACTGAAATTTATCTTAAAGCTGAATTTCCTTTCTTTTGCAATGTCATACCAGTTACGTAAATACATATATTTGGGTAGGAAAGATAAAAAGTTGGGCTGGGGAACCTTTTACCTGCCGTGTCCTCGTTCCCGATGAGCGTAGATCAATTCATCAGTTTTTTGAAAGAAATATAACAAAGTAATGCAGTCTATTACTAAAAACATAGTCCAATTTTTTTTGTTTTATAAATATTTTTCGAAGTGCGTAATGTGTCTCCATGGTTAAAAATGATTGTGTACACTCTTAACGCACATTGAAAACAAAATTTCAAAGTGTGCTGGTTTTGTCCCAAATTTAATGCACTTTAAAAATTTTTTGAAAGTGCGTTGATTTTATCCTAATTTAAACGCACTTTGATTTTTTTTTCAAAATGCGTTGCCACAATGCTCTATCGTATGGAATCAATTCAGAGACATAAACTCCACATACATGTGATGAGAAGTTATTGCATCAGAAGTTAGGGAAGTTGAAAAGTCCAAAGCATCACTTTTATCATGTAAGCTTTGTTGTAAGGTAACCATTAATGTCCTTTTCTAGTACAATATCCAAATATTACGTAGATGTATCAAACTTTGTAAAATCTTTCATATCAAGATCACGGGGATATATCGAGTCAATGTATGAATGAAGGTAACTACTGCTAAAACGTCGTCGATATATCTAAATGTCGAGATGAATCAAGTGCATCGTGTGATTGGACAAGTGACTCTTCAGACCCACTTCCATCATACAACTTTCTTTTTTTCCAACATGGAATGTATGAATTTTGAAAAAAAATCCTTAAAAATTTCATTTAAATCAATTTAACAAAGTCCCAATCATTAATATTTAGCAGAGTGTCAAAAGAGGCGTTAGTCTTATTTATTGAAATTATGAAAAATCACCTATTGCTACATCACATATTCAAATCATATAAGTAAGATGTGGTTTTATAGCTAGTGAACAAAAAGACAATGCTAATTATAGCGATCGTGCAAATTTCAACCTAAAAAGAACAGAAAGGAAATCTGGAAATCCCAATAGCTGGAAGTAATATATGAAAGCGATCGAGTCTTGGTTACTCATAGTGCTACAAAACATCTACAGAATTCTATTTACGTGAATATACAAATAAGTATTTACAAGTAAAAGTTATAAGTAAGTAACCGAAAAAAAATTAAAATAAAAATTAAAACAAAGATAAAATTATGGTGGTTTTGAACATAAAAATTATAATATTGCTTGTTTTAAAACAGGTACTTTTCAGAGCATGCACGGAGGGTACAAAACTTAAACAAATTTCCTCAAATCTGATGGAATTCTGTTTTATTTCAGATAAATTTCACATCAGGAAACCTAAAGTACAAGCCATTGGAAATAAATATAACTTTTGAAAACACAGAGCACAAGTTTGACTTTGTGAGATTTTCATGATTTTCATATAATAGATATCTGATACACATGCGTGAAATATTATGAGGAAAATAAAAATTGATCTCATAATATTGATGGCCTTACCAAACTCATAAGCTCAGTCAAGTCACCCTATATGTTATGTTTCGGGCCCTCATTTCAACATGATAACCGAAAAAAGTTTATCCAGTTACATACTTTGATAAGAAAAAAATTGCAACAAATAAACGAATTACCTTTAATAGTTCTCCTTATTTCTGCCAATTTTACGACGTCTTCCCTAGAGTTCGAGGCATCTTCTTTTTCTGTATTTCAAAAACAAACTTATGTATTAAAACATATACACATGTCTAAGCTGATGTAAGTATGGGAGTCCTTAACCTAGCTGCGTTATCAATCTTAAAGAAACGATGGTATCACGTGTGGCATTGTTTAAAATAAAAGCATTACTTTTCTAGCTGAATTTTTATTCAAAAAAAAAAGAATCATAATTTGACATCTTTAAAACGCGATCGATTTCCATTGTGTATATTACAGCATATTAGTAACTTTATTTTAAAGATTTTTCTTTAAGTAAATGTACACGAGTTTTTGTTAAGTGTTCACTTTGAGAGAACTAGTACATATTATATGTGACATTTGCTATAGTTTGTTTTGAGTAAAGTGAAAAGATTTTAACATTCCAGTCGGGGTTGAAAAGGGAAATAGGGTAACAAACACGATTTCAGAAATTCATAATATAGATATATTTTATCTCGTTTCATAAAAAAAACTCTTTATGAGGAAACCAAAGATTTTCTCAAAAGTCAGGTGACATTACAGAACTCATAATCTGATCTCTGTAAAGCTTCTGTAAAGACAACTCATCAGGGTCCTTATTCAGACAAGTTGACCGAATACAAGTTGTTGAGTTGATTTAGTTTGATTTTATTCTGAAAATCGCTAGGTTCTGATTCCTATGGCCTTTTCGCCCCAATAGAAATCTCATGTTCTCATTATCAGAAATTTTATGAAGGTGTCGAAAACCTCATCCATGTTATTTAAAAAAACATCATGCTATCAAAGTGCAGTAATGTCCTAGGCCCGGTACCTTCGTGATATTACCACATTGATATTGAATTCACTGTCACACTGTATGTAAGCTTGAGGCTTCTATGTGTTCTCCGTGTATTTTCCCATGAAAAAAACTTCTTTTTGCATCATATAAAAATTACCTTTAATAGTAGTTCTTCTCATTTCTACAAATTCTAACATGTCTTCTCTGGATCTAAAGGGATCCTCTTCTTAAATTTCAAAATGGAAACAATTTTTGTTAAGCATAATTTTTCAAAGTCAATTCAATCAAATAAAACAATAATTCATTTGCAACAAAACTCGTTTCGGCAAACTTGATACAAAGGTTATAACGTTGATGCAATATAATTTAAGATATTTGTTAAGATAATTCACATTACTACTTAAAAAAAATAACTTTTAGAAATCATTAAGCATTTTGGTTTCAAAAAAAAAATGTAGCGTTACCTTTACATATTATTTTCTTTCTTCGAAATTGTACTTCGACATCTTTAGAGATGAAAATATCTCGCTCTTCTTCATTACCTAAATTTAGAAAAAGCTTATTGCTGACTGTTATGACATTTTTTTTTTAATTGTATGTTGGTTCAGTAAAGAAAATTAATGTTTTTCATCGAAATATATTTTTTTGGTTTAGTGATTTGTTACAATGAATTCATCTTGCTATGGGAAGATATTGAAAGTATAGAAAATTTTACAGATGGAAAAATGAATTTACACGTTCAACTTTTTTAAAGGAATCTCTTGTGTCATTCAAATATGTCATACCCCCTCCAAAAGAAGATAATATATCAGCATAATCTAAAAGCGGAAATGCTTCTGATGACTTGCCAAGACTTGAAGATGACCTTAGAAGTAATGCCTGATATTTTAAACACTTAGTTTAGGTAACATCCTACACTGTATGATCATTAAGAATAAAATGAGATCAGCTTTATTAGACATAAGTTTTATTTGAGGATCCTTATTGAAACACACTGCAATACAAATAAAATTATATTAAGCACATTTATTTCAAAATAACTCTTGAACTAACTTACGTAAAGAAATATTAATATATGAGGCACAGAAAAAATCAATTCATGGCCCAGAATAACAGAGGAAGTTACTATTCTTTTCATGTGAAATTCTCTGTATTTATTTGGTGGTTGTGGTGGGGTGGTGAATGATATTCTTTTTTCCTGTAGACTCTTCGACGGCAATACGTACATGTATATACCTTTTGATAATACTCTAAATCCATTAATACGATATAAGAACTGAATCACATCAGTAATATCACTGTTCGATATCTTCACCTTTTTCATTACAAAATTAAATCCATTATAGCCACAATCAGAATACAATGGCTTGATGGGGAAATGTTAGGTATATTATAATAAAAATAACCAGAATTTGAAGCCAAATTTTTTATTCCCTTTTTCTTTGTTTTCTTTTTCCTTAAATAAAGAAGAAATACATGGCTGTAATACGGGTCCTTATATCAGTGTTGCTGAAATGTCTATGAAAGTATAAATAAAATAGTGACTTGTTTTTGTTTTTATAGGTTTGTTGATGAATGGCACAGAGAAAAAGAGAATAAACATTGTATTTACTTCATACAATTAGAAAACAATATCCCTTTTCCGAGAAATAACACGTACTTTGAATTTCTTTGAAATGTTTTCTTCGTTTCCAAAGAATAACTGCTATAGCTATAACAACGATACAACTTAGAAGTGCTGATAGGGTACTAAGGAATATCACTGACCTGCAAAAACATAAAAAAAAATTGCAGATGACAATTAGTAAAAGACAATTAAGAACTGCAATACATACTTTTTATATTCATTCTGAATTGGCCAAAGCATTTAATAAAAGTACAATATTTAACAACAATAAAAATCATAGAAGAATGGAAAAATATCTCAAGTAATGTTTTTGTCATCTATTTATTTTTTCATTCTTACTTGACTAGTTTTAAATAAAATGTAATGCTCACTTACTCATTCTGAGTATCATCCGGTGAAGGACTTGTAACTTCAAAAATTCTTGAAAAGGTTGACTCCACATTTATCATTTTTTGACAAGACATATCTTGAAAGCAAACAGAGAAATCGATTAGAAAGGCATTCCATCAGGAAGATGTTTGCAATAAATACATGTGGCGTTCTACATAAAAAATAAGATTTTCAAGTTAAAAAAAAAACTAAAGCATTACAACAGATTTGCAGCATTTAAAACAAGGTATTTTTTTTCCAGTTTCACTGCCATGAAATCATTCTATGTTAACAAACCAGCAGCCCTGCTACTGGACTTGATACTACACAGTTGGGATAACAATTATAAAAAAATAACAAGATATATTTGTGAAACACTGATGCCCCCTTATGGCAACTTATAGCGAAGGTTAAAATTTCTCAAAAGCAAATTAAATATGTTGATATCCAAAATAAAGTCTTGTACCAAAAATATACCTAAGAAATATGATAACCCTAGCAGCAACCATTGAAAAGATATGGAAAAGATTAAAGTTTTTCAAAAGTAATTCAAACATCAAGGTCATGGTAAAATGGTCAAAATTAATGGTGCCCAAGAAAAGGCCTTCTCACAAGAAATACACATGTGAAATATAAAAGCCCTAGCATCAACCATTCAAAAGTTATGGCCAAGGCTAAAGTTTTTCAAAAGTAGGTCAAACTCCTAGGTCAAGATCAAAGGGTCAAAGTTGTTGGTATCCGAAGGTAGGTCTTGTTAAAAGGCCTACACATGTGAAGGATGAAAGCCTAAGCACCAACTGTTCAAAAGTTATAGCCAAGGTTAAAGTTGGGTAAAATTTTGTAAAACTGGGTCAAACTTCAAGGTCAAAAGGTCAAATTTGATGGTACCCAAAGAAAGATCTTGTCAAAGGGAATACACATGTGAAATATGAAAGCCATAGCTCAAACCAATTAAAAGTTATGAACAATGTTAAAGTTTTTGCAGACAAACAGACAGACAGACGGACGGAGAGGAAAAAAAAACCACAGTGTATATACCCCCGAATCTTCGATAAGGGGGCATAAAAATAATTCAGAGAGTAACCTGGCTAGCTTTCTGCTTATGATAACGAACTTTGGATAGTAGGGGATATACATTGTACAGAAAAAGGAATTTACATTAAAAGGGGGAAAAGCAAATAAAAACAAAAGTTAAGTCAACATACTTATCTCGCATGTTGACATAATTTTCTTGCATGTTAACATAATTAACTCGCATGTTGACCTAAATAATTTTTGTTTTTGTGGCGATCGATACATGTGCATGTGCAGTGGCTGCAATGTTATTGTTGACAACATACACGAACGATCACGTTTTACACAAAATAGTTAAAAATATTTAGGAGTGGATATTTAAAAAAAAACAAAAAAACAAAAAAAAAAAAATATTAATAGATATTTTAGATATATATTTACTGCTGCAATTAATCGACTTTGGAAAACTGAAAAAAATATTATAAAAAAAAATATTTTTGAAACTACATGTAAATAAGATTTAATAGGTATTTTAGATTACAAATAATTATTAATGTAAATCTCCGACTTAAATTTTTTTTATCTTTTTAATACGTAAAAATGTAATTTATGATCGAATGCAGCATGTTCTATCATATAATATACGTTGACTGTGAGTTTTGATTCTATTGGATTTTATAATATGCAGTATGGGGGTAAAAAAAATTTAAAAAGTGGCCTAAATAATGAATGAATACTTATATTCATCTTTCCATTTATGAATTCAAAAATCAGCATTTTTTTTTTTTAAATTCATTCATCTGCAGAAATTAAAAAAATAATAATTATCAGGGATAAAAAGTAACCCCGACAATCATGTCGTGTACATTTGTCGACTAATTATTTATGTACATGTAAGTATTGGGAATTAATAATTTTTTTTGTAAAAATGTACATTTCTGGTGTATTGATATAAAAATATCATGACCACAATAAGCAGTTAACGTGACCCATCATCAGAAAAAAAAAATCATTAAACATCTTAACTATACGCTTAATCATTTAAAGTTACGCTATTTAAAAGAATACAATACTGTACGACTTATTATATTGCTTATTTACTACCGATAATTAGTTCGTTCAATAATGTACATGTAAATCGCGCGTTGTTTTTTTTTGTTTTTTTTTTCTTTTTATTTCAGTTAAGAATAATAATAATAATAATAATAATAATAATAATAATAAAAGAAGGTAAATCAAGCTTTACATTATTTTTTTGTAAAAGATAAATCAAAATAATACCATAGCAGTTTACGATTGTACATACTGTACAAGTACATTTATGCTGTTCTTTATTCAGTTTTTATATATATATATATTTATATTTTTTTTACTTTTCTTCAATTAAGATTAATAATTTTGATGTTGATCTGGATTTAAACAAAAATGTAAATTAGAATTATAAAAATAAAATAATTGAATGAAAGCACGTACATATACATACTCCTGTACAGTATCTTGAGATAATGAAATGTTATAATTTGTCAAAATACTTTTTTTTTCCTTTTTTCTTTTTTTAGTAACAATTGTAATAACCATTATTTTCTTTTATACATTAAAGAACTTTTTGTCTGATAAATTTACGCAATATAAATAGATGGATTTTAAAAATAACAAATAAAGAAAATAAATGTGTAAATATAACATGCTACCTAGATATTAATTTATAAATATAAATATTTTTTTAATCGTGTTAATAATAATTTCACACTGTACATAAACCCGCTTTGCTTGTAGAATGTTTTATTTACATCGAATAACAAACTGGCATGCTGATCGGTCGACGCGCTGATTGGTTAACACGTCTTATCGCTAATCCTGATTGACAGATCAGTTACGCAACACCGAACGCGCGTTGGCTTGCTGGGTTCGCTACTGAATTTGGGGTTCGCTTTCGGCGTTCGCTCTGGGTCCGCTGCGGGTTCGCTCGGGGTCCGCTATAGCGAACCCCAAGCGAACCCGAAGCGAACCCAGGCAGCGAACCCGGGGTGCGCTTTGGGTTCGCTTTCTGTTAGGTTGTGTCTGGTCGGTACTGTAGTTTATCACCTTAATGCCCAGGAGCAGAGGAGAAGATTTTTAAAGAATTAATGCTTTTTCACTATATAATCTCTAGAGCCTCACCCTAACACCAGAATCCCTGACCCTGGGGCCATGAAATTCACAATTTTGGAAGAGGCTCTCTTGCTCATCATAAATATGTACTTAGTTACTTTATTTAATACCCAGGAGCAGAGAAGAGATTTTCAAAAAATTAAAGCATTTTCACTATATAATCAATAGAGCCCTGCCCTAACACCTGAGCCCCTGACCCTGGGGCCATGAATTTCACAATTTTGGTAGAGGGCTCAATGCTTATTACAAGGATGCCAACAGTTTGACTGCTTGATGTCCAGGAGTAAAGAAGTTTTTTAAAGATTGCATTATTTTTAGTGGTTTTGGCCCTATCACTCAGGTCCCAGAGGGCAGGGACCATGAAATTCATAATTTTTGTTCCCCTTCACCCATAGATGCTATATGCCAAATTTGGTTGAAATTGATTAAGCGGTTTCAGAGAAGAAGCTAAAAAGGTTCAAATGTTAACACTCGACGCAAGACGCACGCAGACGGACGAGAACGGATAGCAATAGGTCACCTGAGTGGCTTAGGTGACCTAATAATTAACAATCGCAATATTTTAGAATTTTGATTTTACTTTTTTTTAATAAATCCTTTTGATGCCAGTACCTCGTAAAGGAATAACAATATTCTGTATTAGATTAAACTTAGGAATTATTTAATAATAATTCTATTTACCTCTTTAGTAAAATTTGAGGTGAATAGACCCTGATACATTGTAACCATGGGATAACCACGGTATAACCTTTTAATCTAGAAGTTATCCCAAAGAATATTCTTCAATCATTGAAATATTTAACATCAATTTATGTCCTTAGCATTTAAATTTTGGAACAGTGTAACAGCACCAATACTCTAAGATTTATGCTAGTTCTCAAACAACTGGACAAGACATTTCTTTTCCTTTCTTTCTTATGTTGTATTATCAAAATCATGGTATTTTTTTAATTCAAATATTCATATTCTTTTTTAAGCATAGTATTGGAGCTTGTGAAAACTTCTTTGTTAAATTTTGCCGACTATTCTATTTATGTCCTGATTATTTTTACTGACTTGCCGATTTAATTGTCGTTTGATTCTCTATAGCAGAAAACAATAACAATAATTCTAAGTGTTTTATTGTATAAACGTTCAAGTGTACATCTGTAAATCACGCAAATAAAACCTTCAACATGTTCATGTGTAACAGTGATACCCAAATAATGTGTGGACTTCCTGCTAATAATGCCCAAAGGAGATTGATACTTCAGGTGTTGACACCATTCAGTACAATTGTATTGCTTTTTTTTAATCGGGTAGGTAAACACTAACAAAACAAACAAGAAATAAGTCACAGTTCCTGATATTTTCAAATGTTTATTTCTTGAATAAATGTACTCTTTTAACAACTTGTTTATAAATTAAATATTAATTTATATATTAATCCCCCGATAATTTTTCACATTGTTATGTGACGGAAGAATACCTGGTAATTTTATATCATGGTCATTTAAATACTTATTAAGTTTAATTAAAGAGCGGTTAAAAACATAGGATAGAATGCTTCTTTTTAGTGTGGTATTAGCTTTTTCATTTTAAAAAATCCAATACATTAGGTCGCTCTGAAAATCTTATTGTATTGACAAGTTTTCTTTCCCCTTTTTTTAACAACTTTCATTTTTTAAAATTAATTCTAGAATGCAATTGTGTAAATTTACAGCCCCAGAGCGCAGTTAGTAATTTTAGCTATCTCTATTTATATAAATTTTGTGTTTTGTAATAAATCCTTGGTTTTTTAATTCTTATTTTAAACACCTTTTGCTGAAAGTACAAAACAACAACAGGGAGCCTACAAGTTCAAAATACACTAGGGGTGGAGCTATCATGTCACTCAGAAGAACCTTTTTCACGCATGAGTGAACAAAGCAGTCCCAGAAAGCAGTCTCAGGGACTACTTGGTCTATTTTCTAGAGCAGTCCAATAGCAGTCCCAGAGCAGTTCCACAGCGGTCCCAGAGCAGTGCCACAGCAGTCTCAAAGCGGTCTGCTTTCTAGGACTACTTGAGTGTCAATTTGGGTCTGGTTGGTACAGTAAATCTTGTTTCTTTTTTACTTTGTTGGCAGTTTTTTTTTAAATTGAATATTGTATAGTTTGCATCGTTTAATTCAAAAATTTATTATAAAACTTGAACTGTAATGAATAGTTTTGAAGTTTAAGGTTCTGATCGAGCTTTTCTTAAAAGCTGATGAGTGACATACCTTAAATTAATATCAAAATTAATGCGTTGTGAAATTTGTTACAGAAATTTACATTTTAATAAATATAGTTTCAACATTCATGAGAATGAAAACCGATAAAAGTAATTATGTATCTTAGTTAAGTTATATATCATTTTGATCTGATGCATCTGATTTGCAATCATATCAACGTCTAGGAAAAGCAGTTACAGATAATCTATATAATAGGATTTTCAGACCTTCAGAAAACGGTCAGAAACACAGACATACGGAAGTCATGCATTTCATTTTAGTATAAGCACCACTGGTCTCTATTCAGTTGAATAAATAATTATTAGCAAAAGTTATATTCAGATACTTACAGAAATGTGATGATGTTGAAAGATAAGTAGAAGGGCATGCTTTCGTGTGGTTACTGCAGGTCGTATTGTGATTGTTCTGAAGTTCATCCATGTCTGTGTTATAAACCACACATATTCCTAGTGTAAAATTGTAAACGTGTCATTATTTCTGAGCAAAAGCCAAACTAATACTCTTTATTCAACATTTATTCATATGTTCTGCTCATGCTTACCTGATATATTTTTTTCAGGAGCACAAACTTCCAACAATTTACTTTGCTCATGATCCGGAAGACAATGATATTTAAATTTATCTGGCTCTGTACATTTTTGCACATTTGCTAGAGCATGGCACTTCTTTGTCTTGGCTGACCTCATTGTTTCGTCAATTGTTTTAGGACAAGAACTTACAACTTCAGCTGTCCTTTTTGACCATGAGCAATACTGGTTTAAGGATACAGTTATCTACAATTACAATTACACATCAACGTAAAAAATTCTGTAAAAATATTTGGTTTAGAATTTTATCGTGATTAAAATCTGATAAACACATATCTATCATTTAATGTTTTAAAAAATAATACTTCTTTTTTTTTAATTGAATAGAAAATTATATTCATATTCCTTTAAATTTAATTTTCAAACTATATAAACGCACCATGATAACAAGATAGAAGAGAACGTAGATACTTCTACTTGCATTCATAGTTAGTCGATTCGTCTATGGATTCTGAAAATACAGTGGAAATCCAATTTGAAAAAAGAAAAAATGGAGGTTGCACTCGGTATCATTTTTGCTTTATATCGTTACAAAAAATGTACAACTTTGAGTCGGTGATCTTAATAAAATAAAACAAACTTTTGAGAGTGTTTTTACAGATCTTTTAAAGCAATTCTTTATATATAGCGGTTATCCCCGGCACTGTGATGGAAAACCCAGTTTAAATATGTTTATTAAACAATTATTAATGGATAAATGGGTATGTCCTCCAATATATAAATTTCTTCGTATAATATATACTTCAAGTATATTTCTAAACTATTATTAAATTATAACAAATTATATGTCTTTCCTTTGACAGTAACTGTATTATATTTTGATATCGATATAATGACATGAGGAAAACTCTTATATAAGAAGATTAACTCTTAAAACATAAATATTCTTTACAGTCTTGTAAAGAGTTATCTTTCTCTTATGCTTTTTTATAACAATAAAAAATATATATATGCAAAAGACATACCGATTAATGGAATTGAACTCTCGCTCCAATTTCAAGAAGCTGCATTTTTTTATTTATAATCTTCCCTGAAAAAAGGACAGGGTAATTAGAATTTGATCTCTACACAAATACCTCTGTTGCAACCACTATTGAAATAACGTTCACTATTGAAATAATTATTTCAAATAAAATCATCATGTTCCTTTCTTTTCCAAATCAATGGCAAAGATGAACAATATACATGTATACCAAAATTATTTAGAAATTCCATACAATGTACATTAATTAATTGTTGGTTCTCGCCGAGTTGGCCAGATTCAGCTGAAGCTTGCATATAATATTTGCATGTTTTGTTTGAATTTAATGTACGTCAGTTAAATAAAAAAAAATGACGGTGTATTAATGGAAATGTCTACAAAAGAAAGAAAAACATAAATAAGAAGGTACTGTGCCTACCTCCAATTTTCAGGTATGTTGTATACCGGTAAAATCCTTTGAAAAATCACACCTCTCAAAACCTTTGTGGGCGATGCATGCGCTCTTTAATATTTGAAAGAAAAATTCCACTGAAAATTGATGTCTTAAAATATATATGATAAAATATTCTTAAGGTATTAGTCCAAGAGATTGAGTTCAATCTACCCTACCTATAATGAATTACTTCATATCCTCATAAAGATATAATGCAGGGTCCTGTAAATGTTCAACCAAGCCTCTATCCTTACTCGTCGAAAGAATGTATTAACTGCTGGCTGCGAAGAGAAAATCTTCGGAGGTGTGCTATAACGTATTTAAGAAATGGTGTAAGTCAAATGTTGATCGTACGAAAAAGTCCTAAGATTTTTTAATAAAATAAAAATAAAATACTTTTAAACGTCGATTAAACCAATTATATGACTTTTCTACGATTCTGGAATATTTCTTCATTATAATTGAAGACTATATTTTGTAACATAGATAACTATTTTCAATTAAAATGGAATTCGTTAATATTCACATCTTGTGATTGATCATCTACAAAATTACTTTGTTGAAATCATCCTGATTACACATATAAGAAAAGGTTATGGATTTCCTTAATTGACAATAAGTATGTAGGTTTTGAAAATTCGTCTTCCCAAAATTTGTTGGAATTGCGAAGTGACTGCTGATCCTCCTCTACGGTACAAGGAACTTATTCTAATATTTAAATCACCATCAGCAAAAGCAAACAAAAAATATAGCATACAGCTAGCATTAGGATCTGCATTTAAAAAAATAGCATTTCCAGCATAAACATCAGTAGGCAAATGATAGAACCAGCGTTTATTTACTAAAATCGGCATTGTCCTAGTAGCATCAATGAGATTTTTTTCAGTAAAAAAAGTTTTAAAAAAATAGAAAAAAAGAAAACAGTTAAAGAAATCAAAATAATACTATATACTTAAATAAAGGGATTTCAAAATTGTTAATAATTCATTTTCGAACATTCGCTAGAAATATTCAAATACATTAGAATATTCTATTAGATAAATAATTCCTACTTTATTTTATATATGCATTAGTTTACTATCAGCCAGTACGCAGCACAGTTAAGGCTGCAGTATGGAGGCGGGGCCAAATTTATACGGGAAATGCTTACTATGACATCACACAAAAATATAAGTTCTTCAGATTACCACAAAATGAAATGATTTGCTATTTTAAACTGTTGAATAGCTTTAAACTACATCAATACTAACTAGTGCATGCATTATTGTCGTTGTTTAAATCCCACACAGCAATATATAAACAATTCACTGATCGCAATGCACTTGTCAATGTGACGTCATATCGTAAAATTTGACGCAGTTTGTATGCAGTGAAAGGCGGATCAAGTTATATTTATAGAATGAAAAATGTATTTTGTAATTAAATAAAATATAAATTGTAGATATATAAGAGGCCATTTACTTGGATGCGATGTCTATTTTATGATTTTATTCATATACTTCCAGCACATTCCCTAGACAAGCGATACTGTCGTATATTTGTATGCAGATTCATTGAAAGGTTATAGAAGGGTCGTAATAAATCGATATATTGCAAGGGCATACCCTCAATGAATTACGACAAGCTTTTACACATAAACTCAAGAGGCATGAAGGTATTTGAAAAGTGCTGCGAACCTGTTGAAATCTTGCAAATGAATTAATTATATCTATATTTAATGTACTTGACCAGCAAAATATTCAACATAAGGTCTAACAAATGTAATTTTAGCAATTAGATAGTAGAGTCTATATAGGTTCGCAGCACTTTTCACAAACTGCAAAGAGTGTTGAAAATAATTATATGTTAAACTTAGATGTTTAACTTGATTATGCCCTTGCAATATTAGAATTTATAGATGACCTCAATACTTCAGGTATATTTGCTAAAATCACGTGACTGCCACATCACGTGACAAGTCTAAATAAAAAATCTAATCGTCCACAACATGTAGTTTTCAACCACATTGCATTCGTCCGAAAATAGTAAAGTCCTAAAAAGAAACGCCCATCCTTGTAAAGAATGTATTTTCTATCTAAAAAATTCGCCGATATTTCCATTTGTCACCTTAACTGTACTGCGTACATATTCTGTGTCATGATCAGTATTTCGGGGTAATATTTCATGTAGAGTTTTGTAGGTGTAAAGTAACTTTATATTTGTCCATATTTTATAAGAATATAGTGACTGTAAGTATATACAGTCAAAAATTTATTCAAAAAATTATTTTTAAAATCAAATATGATTTATTGATCGTTTTACTGAAGACTAAAATGAGAGGGCCAACGGTTGTATTCCATGCAGGATTAACAATTATTTGCCACAGAAAGAGTTATCTTAATTCCTATAATGTTTTGAAAATAAAAAGAATAATCGTGAAAGGCAAATTCCTTAATTAATTTCCTAATAATTATTTTAATGGGATTCATGAAAACTAGGAATTTTTTGCATTTAGTGCGTAATTGAGTCCGTTTGACAAAACAAGCTGATTACTTTATACAAATTATCAAGAAATAAATTTATTTTTCAATTGATTCACTCTTTACACTTTTTAGATAGTCTGTAAGGTCAAAGTTTTCAAAAAGCAGAGGTAGCAATTAATTAATCGGTAGAGCGCTCGCTCCGTCATTGGGAGGGAGGTCGTAGGTTCGAACCTCCGCCGCGACTGAAATAAGTTGACAGAAAAAATAGGTACATGTAGCAGCTGTTCCTTTGCGAAGCGCGTGTTGGCATTTCGAAGTAAAAATTCCTTCGGACCTTAAAAAAACGAGGCCTCTTGTCACAGCAGTCGTTGGTACGATAAAGATCCCTCACTGCTTAATGGCCGAATGCCGGGTAAAGGTCAAAGGTTTGGAGTCCTTCACCGGTATATGGTGAAGTCTTTATATGAGTGAAAAATTATTGAATTGAACGTTAAACAACATACAATCCATCAATTTAAAAGAAAAGAAAACTCATGTCATTTTTTTTTTTTTTTTTTTTTTTTTTTTTCAAATTTCATCAATAACTTTTTTCACTGATCTTGATAAATCCCATGTGAATGCGAACTCAAAGAAAAGACACTAAAAGGTCTTTCACATCCCTTTCACATGTGGATGTTTTACTGACTTTTAAAGATGTGGCGAACTAATAACTATCTATGTGACAAACAGGATGACTTCTGCTTTTACACTGTCAGATTCCCTTATTGTTTCTGAACATATTTTTTTAATTATTCAAAAGGATTGGACACAAATTCTTACAACAAACTTCATGTCACAGGGTGAATTAAACTTAATTGATAAATAATTAATATTTAATTAATCAATATTACTGGTTATCAGATATCTCCATAAGGCATTATATTATTATAGTAAATAGTGAATTCACATGTATCATGAAAAATGAGGGGATATTTGTTACTGTTTATATTAAATGTATCAAGAAAAGTAATTTTAAAAATAATGTAGAGAAAATATGCTTACTCTTACTTTGCATCTGATTACAACTCTGATATTCAACGCTTCCCATTTCAATGGATATTAAACGCATATACGAAAGTCCCAGGTTGTCGAAGTTTTGCCCTACTCTACATGTATACAATCAGTTGAATTCGGTACTTGCAAGGAAACATGACATTGCCAACTAATAAATGAATCTATTTATTCAAATCATCGTCTATTTAATCATTTTCTAAGTGAAACAACATCTTGTATTAGATGCTGATATTACAACGAGGATAACTATCTTTTTGTCATAGGCTACTCTGTCTATAATATCAGAGAATGTTATTTTTTGAATGTCTTCAGAATAAATAAGAATCAGAAAACTTCTCTTTCGATTAAATTTAGCATAGCTTGCCGTTTGGAGATAGGCTCATACCTGATAAATCTAATTGTATACTGGTGTCTCATAATATCGCGGTACTTCTTTCTTTTGCGTAAAAAAGTTATTCCAAATTCTTACTTTAACTTTTCACCGAATACTTTTCATA